AGCTTTTAACTGCCTGGGTGAATTGGATTTTAATTAATTTGATTTTAGTAATTATGTATGAAATGAATGTGTTTATGTAAAGATTTGTACTTTGAAAATGTTTTCAATCTTCGCATTTTCAGAGTTTCCATTTTCCACTTTAAAATTATTTATTCATATGCCTTAACACGTACGTATGTGCGTGCAGTTGTAATCCTAAAGAAAATCAAATGGCTGGCTATATGTTGTCACATTCTGTTCTGCACGAGAGATGAAGTTTGGGAGGGACATTTTCGAATGCAAAAGCATTTACCTATCCTATTTTAAAAATTCCTCAACCGATCTGTTTTGCAAACTAGTTTAAGTTTAAACAATAACTGAACGCTATTTTTATTTCTGCTTTTTGCGATTTTATTGTGTAGATACTTTTTAAAGTTAATGTAAGTAACGAATAAAGTAACGTATGATAAAAAATGTCGAATCGAAAGTTGTAGAGACATGAGTTATCTTTTGGAAGCAGGCAAGATGAAATATTAGCAAAACGCCTTCGCCGGGAATCGAACCACGGACCTCTGGAATACCGGCCCAGCGTGCAGAACCACTACACCACGAAGGCACGCTAGGAAGGAGGGAGAAATATCTTATATACTCCCCTTTTCAAAGGGCAACTGGGGTTTTTAGGGGATCCAGTCGCCAAATCCTGGGTGTGGAGAGTCATCATTCATCACACTTTTTAGTTGCGCCACTGTAGAGACATTAGTTATCTTTTGGAAGCAGGCAAGATGAAAAGTTAGCAAACGCCTTCGCCGGGAATTGAACCACGGACCTCTGGAATACCGGCCCGGCGTGCAGAACCACTACACCACGAAGGCATGCTAGGAAGGGTGGAGAAATACTTTATAATGTGACCAATACAAAACAGAATAACTCATTTCCGACGAAGTGGGCAAAGTTATGAAGAAGAAAGACATCGTTGAAAAATTCGGTATTTTGTAAAACAATTTGTAGACAATCCTGAAAAATCGAACAAAATTTTGTCAAGCTTTAATTTCGAAGATCCAAGTGTCAAATGGAAGAAAATGCTGGGTTTATGATGATGATGATGATGATGAAGCAGCATTAAAATGGCTGCGCTCAGTGAGAGAGAAAGAAATACTGATATCAGAATCATTGGCATTGGAAACGCTTGCGGAGTTAGTCAAAGCTTTATTGAATTTCATGTGTTATAAATGCTGGAGGAATTAAAAAAAAGACAATTATTAGTTGCAAAAATCATATATGACAAAATCAAATGTGTTAACGAAGACGACTGTATCATATGGCAAGATCAAAAACTAAAAGAAATCGTGGAAACATGCAATGCAAAACGCATCTTCAATGCCATCGAAACCGGATTATTTTAATATCAATATTTACCTATGACTACATTAATATTTAAAAAGAAAAATGTCTTGGAAACAAGCACAGCAAAGTTAGAGTTACTGGATTCCTATGTGCAAATATGGAAGGAAATGAAAAATTGAAACCCTTACTTATAGGAGAGAGTGAAAATCCAAGATGTTTTAGAGGTATTAAATCACTGCAGGTAAATTATGATTTCAACAAGAGCTCATGGATGACTTCAGACAATCTTGGAATGTGGCTCAAAATTTCGATAAATATATGGCTGTGCAGAAACGAAAAATTGCTTTAGTGATAGACAGTTGCAGTGCTCACTTTCAAGATAAAAAAAGGTTAGTATAGAAATGTTAAGGTTTTTTTTTTTTTTTGTCTTCCAAACAGCGCTGCTAAACTGCGGTCTATGATTAAGGAGGGAATAAAAAATATGAAGACGCATTACTGTAAAAGAATTTTGAAGAAGGCCATAATAGGATTTGGAAGTAATCAGCCTTTTTGTGAAATAAATTTACGTGACAGCTTCTCACAACTTGCAAAACTATGGAATTACGATATCACTAAGGAAACTGTTCCCAATTGCTTCCTTCAAGATTGATAATAATGCTCCTAACAGTATCACTAATACTCTGATAATAATACTGCTAGCCTGCGATGAAGATGGGGAAGACTAGGAACTGAATTATATGTAGCTGCAGTTGAAAAATCAAGAACAGTTAAAGAACAATAAACAATTACAAGATTATTTGATTATTTATGGGTAACGATATTGAGACCTGCCGCCCACTCCGTATAGTGGTCAGGGAAGCTGACTGCGATGCCGAAAGGCCTGGGTTCGAATCCCGGAGATGGCATGGTTGTAACTGTCCTTCCGCACATAGGAAAGGCGATGGTGGCCCACCTATTAGGTGCCTCCATAATAAAGAGACCACCACATCCGGCCTTGTATAGATTAATGAACTGGGTCACATTTGTAATTGTTCACAATCTGTTATTGGCAAAAAAATGTTGGGACTTCAGGAATTGCTACTGAAAAGGACATATTGGTGAGCATGTAGCCAGCTAGAAAACGATTACTGATGATGAAGAAGAGAAACCATTGAAGATAATGAATGTACAAAATCTTCGCCAAAATGTATGTTAAATACATTTAATACTGAACGATGTGGTTTTCAGTTTCAAGAAAGTGTACCCGAAGTTGATTTCCTTCTATTAGAAACACGTGAGACTTATTATGATATGAAATGTTGTGCTCAAGATTAAAAGTAAACTAAAGTAACTGATTATTTTTCGAAATAAATTTACTTAATTTTCATACGTAACTTTGATAAAATGTGTACATAATGGTATGTAATTTTGGATTTATATTTCATTTTAAAGGCATGTAATTTTGCATTTATATCTCATTTTAGTACTATTTTGCATTTAAATTTAAAGAAGTTTCTCATCTTAAATCGTGTTTTATCATTAACATCATTCAGCGAATTTCTCCATTTAGCAAAGGTTTTCGCAGAGTTTTGCGATTTCGTAAAATTGCGACTTGGCTGTATTAAAAAAATTATATTCACACTTCGTGTTTAGCCATACGTATGTACGTTTTTAAACATGATATGCTTCAGAAGTTATATATTATATGAGTAGCAAAACCATTTATCAGTAGTTTTTGTATAAGATTTCAAAATTTCTTACCACTTTATATAATCATGTGGCTCTGAATTTTGCAAACACTAGAAATGGTATAGTTTCAACAGTATGTGACGTCATCACATGTACCATAGACAATAAAATTGCTCATAACAGCCACAAAATTAACCGACAATACCAAAATAATGGCAAATTTGAAGGTCTAAACTTAAGTTCAAAATATAGGCTTATAAGATTAAATATGTAAGGGCTAACCATCTGACGTCTCTGAAGATTTAGGTGGAAAACGTTTGCAGGTAGGTTTTGTCCGCTCAACAAGCCTTATCTAGCCACTGAATTATGTAGAGTGTAAGTATGAACTATCAATCTATGAGTCAATGTATGGAAGAAGTGTTCATGACTTTCAGAAACAATTCACCATGAAAGATGCCGTTTACTTTGGCTTTTGCCTGAAAGAATATTACTTTACGTCGTTGTTGGTACAAATTGCGTCCTTTGATTACATTTGAAGACAACTAGTCAAGTGAGGAAGATTCTTTTGATTTTAAAACACGTTTGGTGTCCGTATCCGAGTATAGGATTTAGTTGCAAGTTCGGAAACGATCAGTGTGAGTGAAGAGGATATGCAAGCTTGAATGTTAATGATGATTCATTTCCTGAAACACTGTTTCCAGATGACGAAGAAATATTTGGAAGTGTATTAGGAAAGCAGAAAGTTGATGAGAAGGAGAGCTAAATGAAGATGAAAACGTCACGCGAAATAAAAGAGTTACGAAAGAAACTGATAAAGTATTGTAAACTGTTATAAAATTTTCCGAGTAAGGTTCATCTGTGTCAGCATAAGATGTTATGAAGCTTCACTGTATATACTTGCGAATTTTAAAACTATGTAGTTACTCTAAGAAACTTGTAAGTTTAATGTGATAACATATATAATAATTTTAAAATACTGTTTATTTGTTTTAATATAGAATCATGAGTATGATTTTAATTTTAAATAATCTGTTCAATTTTTGATATTATTTATTTAATATTTGCCGAATAGATCGAAAATATGATTAATGGGCTTTACATGCGCAGTTTTTACAGATCGCGTCACAAAACATAAAAGGTTTAAATTCTAGAAATGTATATTTAGTTATATGAAAAAAATCCTTTATCCGGAATCGCTGAAGTCTCGTTGATTTGCGGTCTTTTTTAAATGTCTTATTAATTTTTGTATGGATTTAAAACTTTATTTTTTTTTCATAAAAATAAAAGCAACACAGTAATAACACACATACATAATAAAATATCATTTTAACAAATATTTAATATGTGTTATCAAAACCGCGATTATCTTTTCATATTAAAACGCGTATTTTATTTTACTTACTTCAAGGTACCAAAATTTTAGAAGGGCACTTTATCGTTTATTATTTATTTAAAACAACCGAAATGAAAAAAGAAACTTTTGGTCTTGTGTATCCAGTGATATATCCTTTCAATTCATTTTATTCGGAATACGTTGTTTTATTTCGTTTTTCTTGTATTTAGAAAGAAATTAAAAAAAAAAACTTTCTTTTAAATATGCCCTTTGTCTTTTTTTTACTTTGATTTTATGTGAAAGTTTTTTCCGTTTTATCAGCTCCATAATTACGGAAAGGGAAATGAAGAGATAAATTTGGTTCCCAGTTTTTTGTCCAAGGAGCTTATTTTGCGAATAAAAGCAAATAGAATTTTATTTAAAAGTCTTAATTTTCTAAACAACGAAGGGCTAGTAAATGATGAATGATAACAACAGCGAATACTATTTTTTAAGCGAATGCTCTTGGAAAGGTTTTGGAATGTATTAGAATAGCAATAGGAAATGATTTTTCTTGCGTCTCTTGATGGATAATAAGGAAAATATCAAATAAACACATGCTTATTTTATCATTTATAAATACATCCTCCTGATTTTTATTAATATAAATATGCATTTAAAATGTAAATGAAAATTTTATTAAACATTAAGAGTGAATATTAAATTCGAGAATAAAATATATGCATTGTTTGAAAACAGTACTCAAAAATAAATAAGTGCAGACGATTAGTTTAACAGAACTCAGAATTAAAATTTGATAAACAAAAATGAAATGGCAATAAGTATTTCTGAATATTAAAGGAAATAAATGAGTATTAACATACAGAAACACAACAGCTGTAAACTTAGGATGAAAAATACGCATTAATTTTGTTGGGTGAGTAGAGTTTAAAAGTCGCGGAAAGACTATTTTTTCGTCCTGTTGGATGATTAATATCATGTAATAATCATCCGATGGACATAAAAAGATGAATTAAGTTTAATACTGTTTTGTCCTGCAAATCAAGGTCATAACAAGATTAACAAGTGAACAGAATGAGAGTAATTCTATGAAACATTTATATTACAGTTGTGTGTACAAAGCACATTGTTTTATTTTCGAATTCATTTCTTGCGGAAAATGAAGAATTAAAGATATTCAATGAAGTAAACGAGACATCGAACTTTTAGATTTGATGTTTCTGCTAAAAATCACAAACTATTGTAGTTACATTTTAAGGAAATATTTCCTTCTCCTGGAAATCATCTTAACTTTAAAGCAGAGGGAGCTTCGATACTAAAGCTTTTATTTTTCTATTTCATACATACTTCGTTAAGAAAGAACATGCAATAAAAGCAACAAAAGTTATTTTTGATGATCACAGAAGTTTTAATGAGCATATTGCATTAATCAATGATTACTATATAAGTAAAATTGCTTAGATTTCATTCCGCATTAAGTCTTCTAGCACCTTGAACTAAGTTTAGTTTACTTCGCAATCAAAACATTATTAGAGGCTTACATTATTTTAATAATGTTCAATAACATTCATGAGTTAATTAACATCATGCACATTAATTAAATAATAAGATTCATCTATTGTATGACAAATTCTATGAGCAGTAGTTTACTTTTCTTTGACTACAGCCACATCGACTTTCGGTATCAGGCACTCATAATCACCAAGAAGGTGGTTAAATACTATTATTTTTGTTAACTGTATGTTATTATGAAATAAGCCTATTAACGAAATATAGTGCTCTTAAATGTAATAAAGCAAAGACTACATAGCATACATAGCAATTTCTGTTCTAAAGAAATTTTGGGAAAATTTTCTAGTACATGCCCTTAATATTTTCTATAATTAAATGCTTTCTGCGAAGAAACAAAGCTTACCCAATGCTGTCGTAAAAACACAAATACTATTCTATTTTACTGAAGTTATCTTGATCAGATATTTACACATAAAAGTGATATCCTTTAATGATAGAGAACAGTTAAATTATTTCTTGACCTTTGGCCACTTTGACTGTTTTTATACAAATCTGGAAGCACATATATATAAGTTCTCTTAAACAACAGTACTACATTTCCAAAATGTTTTCGAAAGAATACTTGTTTCTTAGATGTACGTCAGTATTTTACTAAACAGGCATAATTTTTAAATGGTGCAGCTCTGAAATGCGTAAACTTCTGTTGAGGTCCCATTGTTATTAACAAGTGCTTAGTCAATGACCAGCATATTTGACGAGATTTATGTTATTTCGTTTTGAAACAAGATGTTTAATGTGAGCATTTCCTGAAACTACCAAGTCATCGTCATTTGGGTTCAAGTCGATAGTCTAAGGTTTTCTTCAGTATGAAACGCAATGAGATCCATTGGGTGAAGAGCAAGTAAGAAAGCAGTTTCCAACTCATGTTGAGCGCTTTAGAGGTGGAGGCTGGTGCACATGCATCTGTGGCGTACGTGTAATGGGCGCAGTGTTCGTGGATGAGGGGACTGGAAATGCGGTCCAGATGTTGCTGCAGAAATAGCGTAGCGTCGTGGCCACAGTCTCTGCCTACATGCTGATACTTGCAAGTTACAAATTCTCCAAAAGCACTGAAAAAAATTAAGTAAATATAAAAATTGGAAAGACATCAAGTTCAGGGTAATTTAAGTATCAAAGAAGAACTAAATTACACAACATATTCCTTTTATCTTGCACAGAAATAAATGCACTGTACAGAGAAAAAAAACTTTGACGAAGCCAAACAAATTTTTAAAACTTACTAGAAATTAATCTAGTGACCATAGCGTTCATACAAAAGAATTTCCCTTAAGAATTTATACATCGATGATTGGCTTTTGCGCTATAAGTGGAACGCCTTGTTGAAATCTTTTAACTGAAGGTTGTCTCTTCCCTATAGAGTTTGGTTTAAATGCATGTTATGGTTTCAAATTGCAATTCTTCAGTTACTAAATCTAGTAATTATAAAGAGATAAAAAGCAGTTACAAGGTGTTCTTGCAATGTGAAAATTGCTCTTCCACATTTCTCTCTCAAAACCATGTTTTGCAGAGTATTATTACTTGGTGAGTTGTCATGGCGGAGGCTTAACCATGAGATTTCACTAAATTATCATTGCACAAGTGATGTCGTTTGCAAGCAATATCTCTTCAACAACTTCAAAACTTCACAATAAATTGCCTCACTGAGGTGCATGAGCTAGGCGATATTAACACTCTCCTTATTGTACTCCTAAATTTCCTTGACCACTTTAATCTTGGGGTCTTTCATTTTGAAGATATTTACTCTGTCTCAGATTCTTAGTTATGGACCAAACGTACTGCTACGATCTAAGACATTGATTGACTGTTATTCACGGACTGTTACAGAAGTCTCAACTAATGACTTCAGAAATTATTTCCGTTACAATACAAGTGCTAGGAATGGTGCATAAATGCAGAATATTTGGTCTACTTAAGGGGACAAAGTCTGACGTCATATAAGCTTCAGAATTTGGTTGGATTCAGAATCCAGTTTTCGTTTGTTCAGCGTATTAAACATTATTGCCAAAAAGCTGTTTTTACAGCATAAATGTCAGAATGTTATTATTTTATACAAAATTATAATAAAGAGAAGAATTAATTTCCTTCCACGTGGCAGTATTTAAGTAGAATATTTAAAATTCTCCAAACTAATTCCAAAACTAATTTTGTGAAAATACTTTAATGAATTTCCTTCATAAGAATTTACTTATTTGCACTTGGATCCATAAAACAGCTAGTAACTAAAGTATTGATAAAATTACATTTTTGCTATTTTAAATCTTTTTGAGTTCCAGATAAAAATAAATATATTATTCTTTTTGAGATACCTTCCTAAAATACGTAAATAACTCAAAAGTTCTTTAAATTCCAGTTTATTAGAACTCTAATCATCTGTATAAGGGAAAAGGCTATTTCATCGAGATCTTCTATTCAGAATAGGGCATCCAAGGAAGCAGATAATTACGCAGCCTTGACAGAATGAGCAATATTAGAAAACTCTATATTGGCAACGGTTTATCCAGGTGGCATACTAGTGACGTATTATAGAAGTACAGGAAGAGAGTTTGAATAATATTACCCATCCAGCTATCAGTGAAAATTGCTTACAGTGCAAAACAAACGGAATTCCTACAAATACGTAAATAACTCAAAAGTTCTTTAAATTCCAGCTTTATTAGAACTCTTAATCATACTGTATAAGGAAAAAGGCTTATTTCATCGAGATCTTCTATTCAGAATAGGGCATTCCAAGGAAGCAGATAATTACGCAGCCTTGACAGAATGAGCAATATTAGAAAACTCTATATTGGCAACGGTTTATTCCAGTGTGCGCATACTAGTGACGTATTATAGAAGTACAGGAAAGAGAGTTTGAATAATATTACCCATCCAGCTATCAGTGAAAATTGCTTACAGTGCAAAACAAACGGAATTCTAGCTCCGATTACGCTGTGTGATAAGATGGTGATTAAAATACCAACTTTATCACAAAGCGATTCTTATCAGAAGCGATGCGTCAATTCGACTGGATCTGTTGTACTTAAATACATTTCGATTAACAATAAAATTTGAAAATAATAATGTCCAGTGCCTTTTGAATTCAAAGTTTAAAATGCTGTGGAAATTATACATTAATCATCATTAATTACTCATTGTTTCATTAGTTTAATGTAAACCATAAACCACAAATAAAACTTTTAAGTTAAAAAATAAGCAGCTTGGAAATATGGTTAAACATACCAGCATGATTCTCGGAGACCATCGTCAACGTTCTGCCGTCGATTTACGCTTTCAGACAGTTCCATCAAATATCTGTACTTGGGCGCGCACTTGTTTTCAGCTTGAGAGACGTTCTTGAAACATGGAGCATATTTTAAATAAGCTGCAAAAGGGGAAAAACAGCATTTACAATGTACAAGTGGTGGTTGAAATAAATAAAGTATTTAAATGAGGTAAATATTAAAATTTAATTTTTGAAATTTAGTTTTATTTAAATTTTTATGTTAAAACAAGCGTTAGCAACAATGAATCAGCAGATTCTTTGCTGCCTCTAAACGGTTTCTGTTCACATGCACTAAAATATGCACTGATTGGTTCACATGCACTAAAATATGCCGACACATATTTGAAGTTGTTCCAGAATTTTTTAATAACACTGGCCGCGTCATTTAACATCGTTATTTATATTAAGCTCTGTATTATTATAACTAAACCATCTACAGGATGCTGTCAGGATGCAAGTTCCATGTTCTCGTAAAACGTAGTTGTTTGCACCCGCTTTCTTACTAAAGCAATATTAATCTATTTCTTTGGCAACATCTCCGAGATAGAACATGATAAAAGGATTTGATTTCACACAAACAAATATGAAATTTCAAGTTGATAATAATAATAATATTGGTGGTAATAAACCCTTGTGGTTATTCTATTACTTTACACGTGGATGTATTAGACATAATACTAGTTCGTTCATACCGCGCCCATATAGGGAATGGACTGCTTAGATAAGCAAGTTGAATTATCTACTACACACGTGCCTCGTATTTATCTTGATATACGGAAATATAATGCTATTCCGTTAAATATCCAATTGATATAATCCATTTTTGCCATGAGTATGTGAATGACAAGCCTAATTAACAACCAATCAAGACTGATCAACTGGTTTCTGATATGCAGATTAAGGTGTAATGTCATCTGACGGTGAATCAAGTGCCTTGCGCAAAGTGAACATCTGAGTAATGCCATGCACCGTTTGATTTCAATATGTAAAGAGTCAAAATGGTTTGTTATGGCTTCGAAGAACCGTTTGGAAGAATCTGTGAAGTGGTTAATCATCGACTGTTTAAAGACAGAGAAGTAAACACAGAAGCAGCGAGATTTGTAAACATTTCAAGACACTCAGTCTGAACGCTATGGAAATAAATTCAAAGCTTTGGAACATCTTTACTCATGAATAAAGGTTTAGTTAAACATCTGATTATAAATATGTTTACATCTGCAGGAAGTCAGGAAAGGGAAACTTTCCTTCGAGCCTTATAAAACGTGACCATTTTTGGTAATGCAAGTCTGATAGTATAAGGAGGAATAATGATGATTGGACATAGGCCTTTACGTGTTTTCAACAGCGGATCTGCAACCAGCCAGAGGTATCGAAATGAGATCTTAGAACCTTATGTTAGACAATTCTGAGGTGCATATGAATCTTAATTTTTATTCATGCACGAAAATGCATATACACATCAAGCAAATCGCGTTGTTGAATTAATTGAAAGTGAATACATTGAACGAATACTGTGGCTAGAAAAATCTCTTTGTCATAACGCGATAGAGAACTGATAAGACTACCTTGAAAAAGCAATTATATGGAGACATACTCCTCTTAGTGATCTCCATCAATGCCTTGAAGACCGCATTACTGAAGGAGTGGAACTTAATTCTCAAACTGTGCATTGTGCAAACTGTGCAAAAACATCGTGATTGCCAGCATAAAATCTCGTTCTGGTATGTGTGTAGGAGTAGTGTTCGCGGAAAACATGGCTGCAAAAATATCGCAGACAAAACCTTCAAGGAGAAAACAACACAAAGCGGGAACGTCGGCCTACAAAATATCGTGGTAGAAAACATCGCAGTATAAAACAACGTCGTCGAAATTAAAGCGATTCGAAAACATCGCAGTTTTAAAACATCGTTGTGGAAAATATCGAGGTAAAAATTAAAGCACCTATAAATCATTGCATGACTATACCATCGCAGACATGTGTTTTTCAGACTTTAAAAGTTATAACCCATAACTATAAAGTTAGCTGTTTGGCTGTTCGGTGACATTCCTCATATGCCGTAGTGTGTTGTCCGCTCTGGCGGCAATTCCAAGGTAAATAATATGTACACACATCAACTATAAAGTTAGTTATAATAAGTTAGAGTTGTGCCATTTTTGACACCTCTGTAATCAACATCATCAGTGCCTTTAAATCATACTGCAAAAAATTCCTTCAAAACCCCATATAATGTTGTAGCCTATGCTAAACCCCTGAAACATATTTCAAGAAGAATGTACCCAAAGCACTGTAACTCTCCCTTTTTACTTCGATTTTTTTTCCTTTTCTTTCTTTATTTATTTTTAATTTCAATAAAACGTAGGAGTTGCTGTGCATAGTTAATGTGCCAAGGTATATAAATTTTGTCTGCGGCGATAAGATGGTGCCCTATACACTTATACTTGTCCATTCCTGTGCTGGAACATGTCTGCTCTGCATTTATGAAACTTTCCATCTTGCCACCTGTACGGAAATTTGCCAAAGACGGTTTTCTAGCGGTAACATTTTATTGGTTCAAGAACATCCTCTATCGTTGAGTTTGAATTTCCGACCCTGCATTATTATTTAATTCCGATTTCTATTTAAGCAACTTATCTCTTTAGGAAAATCGTGCACAGAGTAGCGTATCAGACTACAGAATGAATAAATTGATGGAAACGGAAGTAGTTCAAACAAGAAGATTAAATAAACAAAAAGCCGCTTCTAATCATTAATGTTTACTTTTTGACATTGATTCCAGTCTGTTTCGCCGTATTCGACTAAGCAAGCAAACATTTGTTGGAATTCAAACCGTTTGAGCAAAGGAAACGATTTTAATCTGATGTATTCACGAGATTGTTTCCTCCTATTTTTCCTCTTACACGAGGGAAAGTCCAAAAACATCACGCAATCAGCCTAATCAGCTGTTGGGATCAGAAGCCGGTTTAAGTTAATGCTAGTACATATTTAGCGGCTTTAGCCAGTCGACCGCTAAGTCGCAAATTAAGAAGTGAATTTACCTTCTTGTATGGCTCCTGGAACGCATAGTTCTAATAAGACTTGCCTAGCACCTGCAACAACTTGATTGAAGACTTGCCTCTGCGTAGGGGAAAAACAATGTTTCATATGGTCATCGATGCACAGAACACTCTCCTTCATTGTACTGTAAAATAAATTGCATCAAACAGGTGAGAGATCGAGTTTCCAGATGATCTCAAAACTAAGAGAAAGAATTATGTTAATAAAATTAGACATCGGCAGCTTCGAAATTGTTACCCATACATAAAGAAGCACACATACATATAAATGCTTAGCGTTACCAAGTACATTATTTCCAACTAATACATGTAAACAGCGGAAACTGAGAACACGTATTTGCTCTCAGTAGCACACGTATGTAACATACCTATCAGGTTTAGAGAACTTAGGTTTTAAATGAGAAACGAAGCAATTCATGGAGAGATCGTTCTTCTATTGTAAATAATTACCTATCCTCTAATATTTACAACATAGTATATACTTATTAACTATTATAACATCATAATACGCTAAACAGGACGTATTAAAATAAAGTGCTTAACATTTTAATTGTTGATATGTTTTCAGTAATTTATCCTTTTATTTCAGTTTTTTTTTAATCTAAGAATTCATATAATATCCTCGTATTCACAGAATATCCTCATGAGATACAATGTTATAAGGTATTTCCTCCCTCCTTTTCTCATGCCTTCGTGGTGCAATTGAAAGCACGCTCGACGCGTGTTCTGGAAGGGCAGAGTTCGAATCCCTGTGAAGACAATAAAGTTTTCGTGTTCTTGCATTGATATAACCTATTGACTCTACAATGTGATTAACGTCAAAAAAATATAAAAACTTATATTTTGTAGAGTCATTAGGCTTTTTGGAGCAAGAGACATGAAAACTATGCAGTGCCTTCGCCAGGATTCGAACCTTGGACCTCTCGAAAATGCACCGAATTTGCTTCCAATTACACCACGAGGTCATACGAAAAGGAGGGAGAAAATACCTTATATACACATCCTTTTAAAGGGCAACCTGCGGATTAGGGAAGCCAATCTCCAAATACTGGTGGTGACTGGTGGGAAATACCAGAAACAAGAAACTATGTAACAAAGTTGTTGTTTAATATATCGTTTCTGATGTAAAATCTTATTAATTATATCGAGAAAAAAAGGAAGTAGAAAAAATATCATTAAAATCTATACTATTAAAATCTGCGAGAGTCTATTTGTTTGTTTGTGGCATTATCTCCTCCGGGAGTTAAGCTTCGAGAAAGGTACCCGGGATTTGAAAAATTCGTGGGAAGCCATTTCGACCATTCGCATCTTTATACGACTTTAATTAGCCGAGATATTAATTGAAAACTCTGAAAACCCTAATTTTCGTCATCATTTTTCCGAATGGCAACAGTATCGCACGCTGCAGATAGAAGTCTGCTTTATTTCGAAAAGCGTTCCACTGCTCGCTTTCAAATCATAGAGTTTCTCAATAAAAAATTTCCAAGTTTTACAAACTATGAAATAAAAATAGCGTTGCTAAACATTAAATATATTATTCCCTATTACCAAAATGCTTGGAAAGCCATTTCTACCATTTCCATCTTCGTACGACTTTAATTAGCCGAGATATTAATTAAAAACTCTAAAAACGCTAATTTTCGCACTCATGTTTTCGAGTGGCAACTGTCTTGCGCTGGAGATAAAATTCTGCTTTATTTCGAAAAGTGTTGCCACTGCTCGCTTTCAAATCGAAGAGTTTGTTAATAAAAAAATTTTAAGTTTTACAAAATATGAAAAAAAATAGCATTGCCAAACTTTAAACATATTATTATTATATAAGGTCATATTCTGACGTTGAAAAAAGCACGCGATTCCATGATACGTCATTGTATGTCGAAAATCTTTCATTAATGTCTGCATTTGAAATAAATAGCTGCTGTTGGCAAGTTTTTTGTTTCAAATTAGTATAACTGATACGATATATTAATACCACATTAATTCGTTTTTTGATATTGAGAAAATGTTAATATAATAGATTAATTTTAAATCCTGACGTCATACGTATTATTAACCTAAAGCGTCAAAAGTTTTTGTTTTCTGATTTGGCAATAAAAAATTATTTACGAATTGGTTGTTGCTTGGAAAGAATGAGCTGATTTCAGTTGAATGAAATTTTTATTGCCAAATCAGAAAACAAAAACTTTTGACGCTTTATTATTTCATTCAACTGAAATGATTTTATACATTTGCTTTTCAGGGGTACATAGAACTTATAAGTTTTGCTTTGGCTGCAGGCTGCAGCCCGCTCATCTAGCGAGTAGGGTAATATAAATAAAATATTAAAAGTTTTCAATGTCCAAAGTGTTTGAAATAGATATTTTATTTTAATTCTGCATCATTTCGAAAATGTAAGGGAAGTGAACATAAATAATTATGCAGCTCATATTCATGAAGAATTTATTATTACATTTGATCAGGTTACTTATAAATACTTCTAAAGATTATTAACGTGATGCTGGAATTTTTGAAAAGTAATAAGTTATGTAAAAGTAGTAAAATACTTTAACATGAAGGATCAAAACTTTCATTTAAAAATTAAAGTTATTAAAGGACTTTCGCTATTAAACTACTTCTTATTCATCTATGCATTAGGAATATCTTCTCTTTGCAAAAATTCGAAAGAATTTGCGATCTAAAGTAAGTGCCGTCAATTAATGCATTCAATAATCCTTACAAAATCCTTACAATTTTAGGCATCTTCGAAATAAATCCTTTGTCCTAAGATGACGGGTCGTATTAAAATCTTTGCTGTAAAATATTTTTCTTTTGGATAGAATGGAACTTTTTTCTGGTCTTAAGAAATATGTTCTTTGACTAAGTACTTCGAGATCATTAATTGGCTCTATAATATATATGTCTGTTTCAAGGAAGGATTAAATTGTTATATTTCTCATGTTAGATTGTTCAATAAACTAATTAGTAGCGATTGCGTATCCTGAAACCATTTCTTTTCTTTAAGGCATGAAATTCCTAATTTACTCGTAGTAATGAATTTATAGAGAGAGATATAAAATTCCCTTTTGTATATATTCCTAAAATTCAGTTTTAAAAAATAATTGTTTATCTTAAATGGATATTTTAATAAGAACAAAATGAAGCAAAAAATCGTGCCGAATATTAGATTTTTTACACTTCTTGTTCAATATTTTAATTATATAGAAAAATTAACAGTATATAATTCGCAATAAATTTAAGTATAACAGGAAGTATTTTCAGGGCAAACCTGTAGTTACTCAAAACTAATAGCTGACTTAAAACAAAAAATAAAAATATAACTCTATATCAGTACCCTATATCAGCAGGCATTCAGTAGACAACAATCGACAAATTAACTTATAAAGTTACTCTTTAACTCAAATGATACCTTTCCTATAAGATAAAGAGTATATTTGTAACTAGTATAACAAATTCGAGATTTAAAAGTAATGCAATTTTAAGAGCTATACTTTATTGCCCAATAACTTCGTAACTTAGAGTATTGGATGGTTTTTTTTTAATGTTCTAAATTATAAGGTTTGCCAATATGTTGTCAAGTAACAGCGAAAATTATGCGTTAATAGATGAGAAGATGAGATAATGCACTGATTTCCAAACGCTAAGCACACGACGATAAAATCAACAAAGATGGAAATGCAAGGCTTTGGTTAACACCAAATTGCAGATAACAGTTATAAATGTGTTTATGCACGGAAGAAAACAAACATTGTGTACAAAGATGAAAGCAATGATTATTTTCATACATTATACGATAACATCACATTTGATTCATTTGTATAAAGCTAAAAACCTACAACGTTACCATCCAAAATTTTCTACAAACTTGCAGTTCTGATGTTTTCAACTAGCTGATAAACCATAGAGATACTAGCAATGGCCATTTTCTCATTAGAGCAGTTTTAAACCGTTTGAGCCTGCCTGGTGGAGGTAAATGGGTACAGACAGCTTCCCCAAGGGCATACCAAAATTTTCAAAAGGTTAAGGTCAGAGAAATACGGCGGGAACTCCGTGCAAGACGTCTTTTCCATGTGTTATGACTTGTTGGGGATGGTAATTTTCCTCCATAAATAGGAAATAACAATCTCAATGCTCCAGTCTCACAATGAAATCTAGGGCTTTATTTCCATACCACTCCGCAGCCTCAAAGCTGTCTTTCAAGATGCGCCATATCCCATTGAAATCCCAGATACACCAAGGTACCGCTGAATGTGTGATGTTCGATGATGTTCTGAGCCTGATTCTGCGTACTTTGTTCTCGCCAAACCCATACACTCTTACGATCTGATTCCACGTTAAATACGGGCTCTTTCGTGAACAGAACGTTGCGGTACTCTGAGACAGCCCAATTAAGATGTTGACGACACCACTTTATGCTTATCTCTTTGGATTGGTAGTTGGTGGAATATAAACCTTTGATATTCAGACGTACAGTCCTTTCATATGAAGCTTTGGCGTTCAGTGCTGGCAGATATTATCTTACCATGTGACGCTGCGATTATTGATGTAACAGCTGTGGAGGTCTGTCGTCGATTCCACTCGACTACTATTGCTATACAGATCTTCGAAACAAGTGATAATCCTTGCTCAACAGGGCAATGGTCCCGGACAACTGTTGGATTTGTCTGGAACTGTTTCCATATTCGAAAAATTACCGAATGATCCATGCCAGAAAGAAAAGCGTTATCTTTGTCCTGCTTCAATGCGTTCGACAGAGCTCATTATCTACCTTTCGTCTTGTTTTAGCCATGGAAGCACGAATATCATCAAAAATTATTCCACGAAAGTTAGGAACACTTTTTATCATTAATATAAATTAACCTCCTCAAACCCTTCAGAATGCTGGTGTCTTCATCGACTGCCTAATTAGTATATGTTCGTAGAGAATCATGATTGGATGTAACATGCGATATTTGCATAATGCCACCTGCATTAGCAAAGATTTTTCAGTCTTTCGGATTCCACTATACTCTTACAAATAGCTAATTTGCATTGTGTGCTTAACGTTTGGAGCCAGTGTACTTGTGGGCATACAGTTTTAGAACCGGCTTTAAAATTTTAAACACTAGATGTGATGTCTTCTTCAAAG